GGAATGGGGGGGGTCTTTACCGGCTGAGAGGGCTGGGAAGGAGGCAGAGGGGGACCTTTCTGTGCCTGGCTGGGGATGATGGGGCCACCCCTGCTGGTTGGCCATTAAGAAGGGCGGGCGTGGGACTGCAGGACCCATGCGCCTCTGCCGGCCCTTGCACGCCCATGGAACCAGGGCCACCTTTGCAAAGGCTCCCCCACTCCCCACCTTAGACCGAGCTGGAGTTTGCACCAAAGGGGGGGTGGGGTGGGACGGGTGGGACTCCAAGACTCATGCGCCTCTGCTGGCCCTTGAATTCCCCTTTGCATGCCTTTTGCACGCTCGTTGCACGCGCATTGAACGAGGACCACCTTTGCAAAGACTCCTTTCCCCCCCCCCCAAGCAGAGCCAAGGTTGGGGGCGGCGGGACTCCAAGACCCATGGGGCTCTTCTGCCTGCACACCCCATTGCACGGGGAACCTCCTCTTCCCGTCTTTGCAAAGACACAGACACACACATGGATGGTCATGCTGGAGTTTGCACCAAGGTTGGTGGGGTTGGGACTCCAAGACCCATGTGCCTCTTCTGGCCCTTGGGGAGCGTTGCATGCCATTGCACGGGGACCCTCCTCTTCCCTGTCTTTGCAAAGACACACACACACACACACACACACGGTCATGCTGGAGTTTGCACCAAGGTTGGTGGGGGTGGGACTTCAAGACCCATGTGCCTCTTCTGGCCCTTAGGGAGCGTTGCATGCCCACTGCACACCATTGGCACGCTCATTGCACAACCTGTTGCGTGAGGACCCTTCTTCCTGTCTTTGCAAAGAGCTACACAAGTGTTGATTTGGAGAAAAGCCCCCCTCCCCTCTAACGCCGCCCCCCTCCTTTCCCTCCCAGCCTGCCATGGAGGGCGTCTTCGCCCAGCACAGCGTGAGGGTCCTTCAAGAGCTCAACCGCCAGCGCCAGAGGGGCCAGTTTTGCGATGCCACCCTCGCCGTGGGCAGCCTGGTCTTCAAGGCCCACTGGAGCGTCCTGGCCTGCTGCAGCTCCTTCTTCCAAGCCACGTATGACGGCGGCGGCGGTGCCAGCGGCAGCAAAATCCTCCTTCCGGAGAGCTTCCTGGAGGCCTTCGCCCTCCTCCTCGACTTCTTCTACACCGGCCACCTGGCCGTCACCTCGGACAACCGGGACAGGCTACTGGAGACGGCCAAGGAGCTCCGCGTCCCGGAGGCCGTCCAGCTGTGCCAGGAGTTTCAAGCCGCTCTCTCGCCGGGCGGCGACGTTCCTGGCGACAAAATCCCTGACGCCACCTCGCCGGTGGAGGAGTCGACTTGCGAGGCTGAGCTCCCTGTCCCCCCGTCCTCGGAAAGTCCCCGGACCCGGGGCGTCCAAGGAGCTCAGGGGCCACGGGACGGCCCCGCCCTCCCCCGGGGGAAGTTGAAAAGGGTCCCCAAAACTAACGTTGTAAGCCGCGCAGGCGACGTAAAGGAGACCCCGGAATGTAAGGAACTTAAACGGCCCCTGAAAAACGAAGCCGCCGAGGATGCGGGCGCCAGTCACGAGGTGGCGTGTGCGGAGTAACGTGCTCTCTAGGAATTGCCCTTGTCTGCTCCTGACCCAGAAAGCGGGGTGGGGAGGGAGGGAGAGAAGCTGCAGGGAAGCACGGAAAGTTACGGGGGGTCTTGAAAAATGGCGAGCAATTTGCCGCAGGTTACTCTTGTTTTGAGCTGGGAATTTGGGGTGCCACTAGCCCATTTAAAAAAAAAAATGCTTACCTGTATGGACTGGTCAAGAAACCAGCCCTTATTGAGGTCCTGGGACAATCTAGAGCGATTCTGCTTTGAAGGGGTGGTATTCTACAAGCTGCCATGTTCTTCCTTCCCACCAGAAGACCCCAGAGGTCCTGGGATCGAGCGACCCCCCTTCCGAAGATCACAACGGAGGAAGGGAAAAAGACGACACGGATGAAGATTACGTCCCCGCTCCAAAGAGCATCCGGGGGAGAAAAAGACCGTCCTTAACCAGAGCCTCTCGCAACGGCTCCAAAAGCCCCGGAAGCAGCCACAGTCACAAGTCTGCGGCCCTCAGACCCCGCAGAGGCACGGCTGAACTGGTGGAATGTCCCACCTGCCATAAATCTTTCCTCAGCAAATATTATCTGAAGGTGCACAACAGGTAAGTTCGGGGCGATTGTGGAGGGAGGGAAGAAGCGGGGAGACAGAGGCGGCTTCTGGGAATCTGTGGAAGGAAAAGGGGGATCTCTGCGCTCCGTTGGAGGGTGGGGGGGGGTCCCCTGTGTTCCTGACTGCTTGGGGTGGAGATAAGGCTGTCCTGTCTGAGGTACTGATAGTTAGCTCTGTGCTTTGTGAAGTGCACTTCCTGGAGGGAAGGGAGAAACATCTTGGGAGATTTTGAAAAGTGAGATTATAAAAGCCCAGTCTAGCACAATACCAATGAAGAAGAAAAATAACAGCTCACAAAAGGAAACCAAGCACGGCTGCATAAAGAACTGTCTTGAGGGATAAACAGGGTGAATTTGAATGACCCTGTTCAATCTCATTCCCTAGAATGACCATTGATCAACTTCATTCCTTGGAATGACGGATGATGAGTCTATCTCCTAGGAATCTAAAGGAATCTTGGGGGGAGGGGAGTGATCATACAATATTGGGATTCGACATGCAAGCACAAGCAATAGAACAAAGTCAAACTAGAGACTTTAAGAGGGCTTATTTCAATGAACATAGAGCGAGCTTGGGAAGGATGAGAATCCTCAAGGAGAAAACAACACAAGAAGTTTGGGAGATTTTGAAAAGTGAGATTATAAAAGCCCAGTCTAGCACAATACCAATGAAGAAGAAAAACCAACAGCTCTCAAAAGAAACCAGCAGAGCTGTATAAAGAACTCTCTTGAGGGATAAACCAGGTAAATTAGAATGACCCTGTTTAATCTCACTCCCTGGAATGACCATTGATCAACTTCATTCCTTGGAATGACCGATGATGAGTCTTATCTCCTAGGAATCTACAGGAATCTTGGGGGGAGGGGAGTGATCATACAATATTGGGATTCGACATGCAAGCTCAAGCAATAGAACAAAGTCAAACTAGAGACTTTAAGAGGGCTTATTTCAATGAACATAGAGCGAGCTTGGGAAGGATGAGAATCCTCAAGGGGAAAACAACACAAGAAGTTTGGGAGATTTTGAAAAGTGAGATTATAAAAGCCCAGTCTAGCACAATACCAATGAAGAAGAAAAACCAACAGCTCTCAAAAGAAACCAGCAGGGCTGTATAAAGCAGTGTTTCTCAACTTTGGCAACTTGAAGATGTCTGGACTTCAACCCCCAGAATCCCCCAGCCAGCAAATGCTGGCTGGGGGATTCTGGGG